TCATCATAGCATCATATACTTCTTTGTCACTATATATATATATATACAGCAAGGAGCACTGATGATGATTCATTCGGAATCGAAATATGGCCTTATTTACAGCATGAATTCGAAAAATAAGTTTATTTTGAATTTTAATAAACTAAACGTTCACCAAAAAACTTTAGTGAGAAAAATCGAAAAAACGAACTACAAACATATTAACGCCAAACATTCGGTAGAATTTATAGAATATTGTAAATATTTAGATATATGGATATATGAATTCCGTCGACAAACATGTAAAAAAATTAGGGTACATATTTGCTAAGTTGCAACTGTACACCAAAACGTACACAGAGAGACACACACGCATACATACAAAAACACTCCCACAAACACACACACACACACATACATACAAACACAAGCACAAACTCAGGTAGAAAAAAATACTAATACATATCTCCTTAGAGCAGTGTTGCAGTGATGTTATTTTGAGGTATGCGTGAACTGCTCAGTGCTTGAATTCAAACAAGCGCATGAGTACATTACTACTATTACTACTGCTACTACTACTACTACTACTACTACTATTACTACTACTACTACTACTACTACTACTACTACGACTACAACTATTACTACTACTACTACTACCGCTGCTGCTGTTTGCTGCTGCTACTGTTGCTGCTACTACTACTTTATTCACACACACAACACACACACACACGCACAAACAAACAAACAAACAAGCACACACACATACACACACATACATACACATGTATACATACAAAAGACCTTGCAAGAACATCATCATTGTAATAATTTTTTCTCGGTTGATTCTTATTTCTTTGTTTTGAAACACTGAACAGTATTTTATTTTTTATTTCAGAAAAAATCTATTGGCTTAAATTAAAAGAATAATAATAATAATAATAAATAATAATACTAATATAATATTAATAATAATATTAATAGTTATTTATATGATGCTCAGAATGCAGCATATTACAGCTGCAGAACGAAACTTAGTGCCATTTTAGCACATGTGTGATGACGATAATTAGAAAAATAACACTGCTTCTATTATTATATCTACCACTCCTACTGCTACTTCTCCTCCTCCTCCTCCTCCTACTACTACTACTATTACTACTACTACTACTACTACTGCTACTATTACTACTACTGCTTCTGCTGTTGCTGCTGATGATGATGAATGATGGTTCTACTACTACTTTCACTGTTACTACTGTCATTACTACTGGTGCTACTACTATTATTATCAGTTGTAGTAGAAATACTACTAATACACACAACCACACACACACACCACACACACATACAATGTTCTATATTTCTACGCATATAAATGTGAACGCGTATAAGAATGCTAATATTGTTTACAAACAAACATTCATTGGAGATGAATTTTATATGCAACAGCCGGTTTTGCTTAAAATTAATTAGATAAAAAAAAATGAATGAATGATTAGATGAACGAATGAATGAAAAAAATAAACAAATGATTGATTGAACAAAAGATCAAACTTAAAGTAAAGAAATAAATAGATGAATGAATGAATGAATTGAATGATTGAATTTATGGGCATACCAATATATAGATAAATAATTAAACAAATGAACAAATGAATGAATGTATGAATAAATAACAAATTGAACAAACGAATGAAAGAATGAACGATCGATCAAACGAAGAATGAACGAAAAGTCGAATTAAACATTATGAAAGAAGAAAAAGGTCTCTACGCGAGTGATTGATTATGCTGAGATCAAATTTTACGCGAACTTACATGAATTTAATAAAAAACAAAAATTAAAAAATTGAAAAAAAAACAAACAAGTTAAATTCATCATGATATGTTACGATAGATTAAGTTCTGAATGTAGTTATATATCAACTTCAATACCAAACATTTTTATTTATTAATCACAATTCATATTTCAATATATTCCAGAAGCATCAAAACAACGTATCACACACTTTGCATGAAATAGGAGGGGATCTCTATGCAGTCGAATCTGGTCACTGCAATAGCAAAGCCAGGCACCTTACCGTAACACTATCACGTTTCATCATGTCATACATTTGTGTAGTATGCACGTATAAAAATAAATTCTATCTGTTGTAAAGCCTTTATCATTTTATTTTTGTTGGTATAATAGTCATCATTCTTGTTCTTGTTCATTTGTTATCTTATCATCACAATGATTGTTGAGGCTGTATGATAATATCTTTATCACTGTAGTCATATGTTAGAACGATGATAACATATTCCTTATTTTAGTTGTTATGTGATATTACCATTACCATCATCGTCATCGTTATTCGTTCGTTATCATCATCATTTGACTTGATTTGATTAATGAATGAATTGAAAATGATTGTTGCTGGTGTACATTGCAATCACAGTTGTCATGTTATCATTGTAGTTGCTAGACCGTTACATCGTTGTTGTTGTATGGAATTGTTATGGGTGATGATGCCCTTTCTGCAATCATCATATGTACATGTTGTTATTCTTATAACAATGAACTCTCGTCTCGACACGCTGGCTGCCACGAATTTTCAAGATTCGTGTTCTAGAAAAAAGATTATCGTACTTACATTATTATTTTGCGTTTCTGTCTGTATTTTGTTGTATTTTTGATGGTATTTTTATATGTTTTTAACTGTTATATTATTGTTTGTAATCTGTTTGAATTATTTTTTGCTTTTTAATAGTCATTTTATTTAAAGTATTTTATTTTCGATATCGATTTCAATTGTATATTTTGGTTACGCAAAATACCGTTTTTTGTTTTTTTTTTACAATACAGACTCGAGTTTTGTATTTTTTATGTTTTGTATTGTTTTGTTTTGCAATACCGACTCAAGTTTTGTATCTTTATGTTTTTCGTATTGTTTTTATTTTGCAATACCGACTCAAGTTTTGTATTTTTATGTTTTTTGTATTGTTTAATCTTGCAATACCTACTTTTTTTTATGTATTTTTGTTGTATTTTAACACTGCCAGCCGTTGAATTTTCCATTTTATAATGCTATTTATTTTGTTATGCCTACCAGTTAAGCATCTTGTCTTGTTGTATGCCTGTTATCAAACATCGTATCATATACATTTATAAATGTATACTGTGTAATTTGTATATATGTTGTTCCTACACACACACATTATAGTTTTTGTGTGTGTATGTGTGTGTGTGTGTGTGTATGTGAGTGTGTGTGATTTTGTGTGTGTATGTGTGTTTGTGTCTAATGCGTTATGAATGATGCATGTAATTGCGTATATATGTATGTCATGTATGTTCCTGTGTTTTTTCTGAGTTTTATGATTGGTTTGTTGATGTTTTTTTTATTCTTTGTTTTGCTTCGTGTTGTTTTGTTGGGGTTGTAAATGTTTCACGGTTCTTTGTTTAATTTTTGTTCTCATTTTGCTTCTGATGTTTCGGTACGATTGTATGTTTTTGGTTTTTAAGTATTTTATCGTGTTAACAACGACAACGACGACAACAACAACGACAACAACAACGTCATAAAAAGATCAAAAGGCAGCTGTAGAAC